TCGCATCCCAGTTGAGGAGATCCTGAGCTTGGGTAGTTTGATAAGTTTTCAAGGCTCCTCCTATGATTTAGGTTCCAGTCATTTCTTAACACCGGTCTGCAGTCAAGACGTCACAGTCATTTCGTCACACTCCAATCCACACGGTTGAACAGCGATGGTCATTTCAGTCGCCATACACCTGCAAGCATCAAATGTGTATACATGGCAATCACAAATCACGATTCTTGGAGGAGGGCTGAGTGGTGTGTGGAAGGACTGGGGGGGGGTGCGAGTCGTGCTTATCTGATCAGCTATACCGTTTATAACTGGATGAGTTTTGTTGAGTTGTTTTCATTGTTGGGGCGGAGGTGGGGGTGGGGGGAGCAGTTTTACTCAAGAGGGCACGTTCGAACGATTACGTGCTTGGATTGGTGATCTAAAATTTAATCAAGACTGCTGGCGCTGATCCCCCAAAATTTTAGAGAGATGAATGAAGTCATTTCGTCACACATGAGACGCGACGAGATGACCGTGTGACAAAATGACCGGTTTCCAAGCCCACTGCGGATTGGATCGGGTCGGGTCGGGATGGGTCGGGGGCGATCCGCCTGAAAACAAACGCGTTTGTTTTTGAGTCGGCGAGTCGGGTGTGATCGGCTTATGCCACGATAGCCGCTTTGCGCCCTCAATCTGGCTGGCAAACCGCCCCGACCAGACCCGATCCCCGAATTGGTACCCCGTACGGAAATGAGCTTTTTTCCGGGAACTATCTCTTTTGTGAAGTAAGTAGGCTAATTATTGAACAGTGTCAGTGGTGTAGCGGTAGGCGCGAAGTCGTCGCATGCGGAAGAACTGAGTTTGATTTGTGTGTGGGGATATTTTTCATCGAGTATCACGGTTTGATACAGGACCACGTCAGGAATTTTCTCTGTGGAATTGGCCGAGGATACCGAAGCTAACTTATTTCTGGATGCCTTGGATGGGACATTGTACATATGTATCTCTTTTAGCCTTGGTTAACGCATAAAACACCAACATACTATTACTATTATACGAGTAGTTTATGGTAAATTATAGGGCATAGGGGCATACCCCTTGAAACATAATTATGTTTCATAAATTAAGGTTCATACTTGCTTTTTTTTTTCTTAGTAGATGATTAAAAGGGGGGGGGGGGGGGGCTCACCTACGTGTCAGGAAAATTGATCCAACTGGACTGCAGTAAATCTCATATTGATACTGCATTCGCGCCATAATAATTGATACTGCGTTTGCGCCAAAATAAAAGTCACTCGGTTTACTACCCGCTGAAGTGAAAATCCCGGCTGTAGGGCCTATACTGTATTTTAGGATGACGGATAGCGAGACACTTGATCTCCTTTCAATTTTCGAGGTTCTGAAAATACGGTAAAAGAGAAGCCCTCGTCGCTTCTGGTCCAAAGATTGACTTTTAAAGAGGGCTGAACTGTCTCATGTAAATATCTCTTGACAGAGATTAGAGCATGTCGAGAAGATTTTAATAATTTCATGAGGATGGACAAAAAATGTGACAAAATAAACTTTTGTGAACTATTTGAAGAAAGCCTTTCATGATAAAATGAAAGGGCTGGTAGAAAAGGTTAGCTTAATACGACTGATATTGTTGGTAGGAATTATATTTTATGTCAGTACTGTTTTGAGCTGATAGTGTGTCGTTTGTATTAGATGTAACTGGGCTTGGGTATGAGAGGGTGACCACTGGTTCTGGATAATTGCCCAAGTTTTGCCTTGTACAAAACGTCTGTGATGAATTTTTGAGCCTGTACTCTCTGGTCGGGTAGAAGGCCTCTAAGATCATGGGCCACCATTTTATCAAAAGCATCGCACTCGTCTTCGGTTGGCATTGGATGAGTATTTAGCAGCCTGTTGCGCACAACTTTCAAGAGCTCGTCATCATCAGACTTTCTAATTCTGGCTTGTTTGACTTCTTTTGGACGGGGTCTTGTAACTTGTAGTGGATGGAAGGCCAGAGCCAGATGGAAGGCCAGAGCCAGATGGAAGACCAGAGCCAGATGGAAGGTCAGATTTGGATGGAGTAGGCTGAAGTGGCTGAGATTCTTCTCGTTCCTCTTGTTGTACTTCAGAACCCACATGGCTTGGTATGTTCTCTTCTGCCATTCCAGGAGATGGAGGCATCTGTAATGGAGAATGTGCGGGGGTGGGGTTAGGGCTGTACTGATCAAAAAGATAATTTACAAAACAAAATATAGTAACGTTTATCACAAATAATATACTGTACATGCTGTTTATTATCGCATAACTTCATTCTCATAATTTTTGTTTCAGTTCCCTTCAACAGAAGATGAATGGAAAGAACAAGCCAAACATTTTGAAGACCTTTGGCAGTTTCCGAATTGCGTCGGCGCGGTAGACGGCAAGCACATTGCCATCACAGCTCCTCCTGGATCAGGATAATTCTTCTACAACTATAAAGGTTTTCATATCATTGTGATGATGTCTGTTGCCAATGCGAACTATGAGCTGCTCTATACAGTTGGAACCATAGACAGAGTGTCAGATGGTGGTATAATAGCAAACACTGATTTTTACCAAATCTCTGCAACGGCTCTTTAAACCTACCAGGAGTGAACCAGCAAATGAATTGCCCCATGTCTTCATCTCGAACGAAGCATTTGCACTCAGAGATGACTTTCTGAAACCCTTAGGCCTAAGAGAAGAGAGTGTTCAATTATCGCTCCTCGCGTGCTCGTCGTGTGGTTGAAAATGTGTTCGGAATAATGGTGTCCCGCTTCGGTATCCTGAGCAACAAAATGAACCAAATGCCCGAAAATATAGACATCACTATTCTTGCATGTTGTGCTTTGCATTTAATTTCCTGCGAAAACGTGCTGCTGCAAGTTACACGCTGCCTGAATCTTTGAAGACCCTTGCACCCATGTAATGCGAGATGGCCTTCGGGTTGGAGACAAAATTACTGGTGTTTCAGGGGGACAGACCAAAATGGCTTCAGAAAGGGCCAGGCATGTCAGAGAGCAGTTTAAAGTTTATTTTAATACAGCTGGAAGGGTACCTTGGCAAGAAAATACGCAATTTAATAACTGGTAGGATCAGCTAGATCTTTGCACTTCTTTTCTGAGACTGACAACGACTCCACCATCTGTTTGAAAATAAACTCAAACGTAGTTTATAAGGTCTTGCTATTCAAATCAAAGACTATAAAATAACTTTATAAAATGCGTTTCATTTTTACCATCGTCCACGTCACGATCATCACCATAACCACAATTGTCACCATCCTTGTCGTCATCACCACCACCACCACCGCTACCAGTAGTACCATCACCATCATCACTACCACCCCCAACAGTACCACACCCCCCCAACCACCACCACCACCACCATCATCATCATCATCATCATCATCATCATCATCATCATCATCATCAACAGCAGCAGCAGCAGCAGCATATATCATCATCGTCATAATCATAAGCTGTAGTACTATTTGTCAATATCAAAATGACTGTTGCCCATAATCCAGTTTCTTATGTGTTTTACCAAAACAAAAAAACAAAAAACAAAAAAAGAACTAGGCTTATGAAAAGCCCTACACGTGTATTTGTCTTTTTGTAAATCTTGCGCTAGAGAGAGAGAGAGAGAGAGAGAGAGAGAGAGAGAGAGAGA